TAAATCATATTTGTGTTCTTTTGCACAAGTTTAGATTATTTTTACAAAGTTATATACATAAATTAAGATATAGAGACTTTTTCTTTTTCATTTACAACAAATTCAATTATCAACACTACATCGGATTAGTGCACATTAAACGCTGTTATATATGAAATTATCGAAATATAAAAGTATATAAATACTTCAAACTTATCATTATATAATCAACAATTTGTCATATTATTCAGCAGAATATATCTTCATAATTCCATCAATATGTTATACTATTACATTTAAACATTTCATAATAGCAGCTGTTAATATGTATTTATCCGGTATGATGCGGTGATCGAATTCACTATTGGTAAGCAATTGCGCTTTATTTCATACGTATATCAATGCATATATCATACGAACACTTTCTCGCTAACATTTCATTATACAAACACATATATATATATATATTTACGATTGCGTTCTTTATATATATATATATATATCCACAATATATATCCATAATATATAAGATATCAATATCTTACGTAAATTTTGTTTTACTTAATTTCTAATATTTACATTCTTTTACTATAATATAAAACAGCATTTATAGCGTAGTGTTTGTAGGACGTGGCTAAATAATCACTGGTAGTCTTCTTACAACCTTTGTCTTTTTCAACATTTTGTGAAAACAGCTCAACTGCAACCATACCGTTATAATCATACTCGAGAAACGGAAATAGATAATCATAATTAGACATACTTAGATAATTATTTGTTCCCAAAATGTCTTTACAGTATTAACATACAGTATTATATCGATAACGCTCTACCAACTTTTTTTTTGATGAATGAAAACAGAAGTGGAAAAAAAAATGATAATCAGTTTTGATAATTTGTACTTTATATCTTGACATGTAAAAACAAGGGGATAAGACATGACAAAGATGATGACAAAACGAGGGAATAAGAACTTTTAATATTTAGACTATACGATTGACAGAATAATGTACAACACAATTATATCATATATGAATGAATCTACCTCTTGAGACAAATATATTCTTACTATAAATTACTCTAAATTTTACGATTATATCTACAGTTTTGTTTTGAGATAAAGAAAAATTACAGAGTATATATTACCTAAGCGATATTAAAAATTGTCATGAGATATCCATTGTTGCTTGATGCCCGTGCCAATAATAAATCTTATATATTAGTCCTAATTAATTCTCAAAAAAAGAATGATTTTTCAGTGCTGTCTATCACGAACAAGCTTGCTGCATTTCTGCTTTAGCTGCTTTCATCGCTGCAACAAAATAAAAAATTTATTATAGTTATTATAGTTTATTACACTGATTTTCATATTATTAGATGAGATGGATATAACAAAATTTATTTTATCTTTTATGCAAGCGCCACATTTAATAAAATAATTTTGGAATTGTACAAGCATTATCTACCAACTATTGATTTTCGTTGTTTACTATACAAAAATAATAACAAAAATTAAAGCAGTTGAAATAATGTATATCAGACGCTTATTTTACAAATATGAAATTCTGGTAAGAAACATAAATTATTAATTATAAAATATATTATTATTAATGCATCCTGCTAAATTATGTGACTTTTGTGTTGATTTATATACCTATATATATATATATATATATATATATATATATATATATATATATATATAGGAAAAAAAAAGATTTTTTATCTGTAATGGAATTCCAGTTAGCACAAAAAGTCCTAAACACCTTTTTAAGATATCTTATATCCTTAATTTAGATTTTGTATTATTTCGGATATCACTACATTGTATATCCAAGATAAAAAAATATATTTGGAAATATATTTGGAAAAAAAGAATTAATCAAATTTCTTTATATCATATATTTATTGAAATTAAAAATGAAAATTCTCAATGATTTATTATTTGAGAATATATTTTCCGAAAATTATATAAATATTCTCGAAATTTTGAAAATTTATCGAGAATATAAAAATTTTAGAAAATATATCTTTTCTGAATTGAATTTTAATCTCAGTCTAAAAGTGTACAACAGCTTTATTAATATTTTCATTAGTTCTTAATCTTAAAAATAAGTTATATAGTAACTTTTGTAAGTAGAAACTTTGAATTTCAAAAAAGTCCAAAATATCCAGATTTCAAGTTAACATAAAGAAGTATTAAAATAATGAATTATATATAAAATTATGAATTATATCAATACAGTTGTAACTTTTTAGCATTTCATTAAAATGCATTAAGTATTACAAAACGAAAAATAAATTTCAAAAAGAGTGAGGTCTCACAGAGACAATAATACAAATGAATATCATTTAATATATCAATTCGATATTACGTACCTTCTCGTTCTCGTCTTCTCAATTTCTTCCGACGTCTTTCTATAGCAGCGAGTTCAACTTTTACGGCATTATACGTCTTTCGTAATTCGGTTAACTTTTGCTGTAATACAGCTATCCTTTGACTACCATCCAATTCAGGATCTGAAAGCATAATAGTGACATAGTACACATTAATTTTAGCAAGTTTAACAAAACATTCTTATTAACGATTGAAAAAAATCAAACAAGCAAAAATTCTTGGCATATTTAATATTAGAAGAAATATATTATTTAACATACCTAATTCGACATAAAAATTGTATTTTGTTGGTCTTGGTGATCTTGATGAATAGGTACTAAGATCGGGAACACTGGTGATGGCGCTAGCATGACTCGTCGGTGTGTTGTTAATTACACAGAGATTGGAACCCTCACTGGTGTCATCGCTATCACTCCCAGCTCCGAATCTGCCATTCCTGCCGTTCTGCCTGCCGGGTTTTTTTGGCACGACACTGCCGGTACCACATTCCGAATGTTTTCTACTTCTTTTGCGTTTCTTGGGTGACTGCATGTCCTCGACTGTGCGTTTAGCAGGCGGTTTGAGAATCCTATCCGCAGAGTTACTTTCAGAGTTGGGCAAGGTATCATCTTCGCTGAAACCAGGGCCTTTGCCAGCGCTGTCGTTATCTGCTTCGGAGCTATCGCGATTGAGTTTGATATTGTCCTCTGAAGTCGGCGATGAGACACCGGTTCTCTCTTCTCTAGGCGAACCTGAGATATTGGAAATACTCGAATCGGGTGTAGTCGGCGGCGTATTGTCCATTACCGGTGCGGCTTCGTTGCTCTCTCGTCGTTGCGATGGCATCAAAGCTGATACATGTTGTTGTTGCTGCTGCTGTTGGTGTTGCTGCTGCTGTTGTTGTGATTGTCGTATGTTTAAAGATACATTCTGTTGTATCGGTAGCGGAACTGGTATTGATACTTCTACAGTTTTTGGCAATGCCATACTAAGAGTAGCAACAGTATTGCTACTCGTCGTACTTTGACTTGAAGTCGGTGCGCTTGCGAAAGGCATTTCCATCAACGCTATACTACTCTCCGTGGCTTCGTTTTTCGGCGGACTACACGAAGGACCAATGTTGGCTTGTTCAATGCTCTCAGACAATGGAGCCGGTGAGCCAGGTATTTCCTCTTCGCATAACAGCGAATTCATCGTTTCACCTTCTTCGTCTGTTTTTGTAACAGATGCTACATCAGTCCTGAACTCCATACACTCCTGCTGTTGCTGCTGTTGTTGTTGTTGCTGCTGCTGCTGTTGATGATGAACACTTTGTGTTTTCATTATTTGCGGCCTCGCGTATCTCTCTTGTGTATTATCTACATGATCTAATTCCGCTGATAATTTCATGTAATTAGGTGTTGATACTTTAACGTCTTGCAACTCCTCATTGTCTATCACAAGTCTTAATTCCGAATCGCTGCTATCTGTAGAATCTGTAATGTCTTGGTTGATTTGTTTCTTATGACTTTCAATTCTATCTTTTTCTTTCTGATCCGTTGTTTTATACTCCTCTTCGGGCTTTTTATCAGATATCTCGTATCCGACGCTCCTCCAGTTTTCATCTCTAGTGACTTCCTGCAATTTGGTTTTGTGTTCAGTGATCGCTTTTGTCTCTGAGAACTTCTTCAATTCCACCTCTTTCTTCGGTAACTTCGATAATTCTTCTTCCTTTCGTTTAACTGCTACACGCATGATCTCTCTGCGTAGATTCTCTTCGTTCACTGACATTTTTTCCTGTTCGCGTTTCTTGTTTATTTCGGTCGCAGGAATACTGCAATCCGCATCTTTGCCTCTTTGTGGAGTAGTAATGTCTATTTTCTTAGATTCCTTGATTATCTTGATTACGCGTACGAAATCAGGCGTATCTTCCTCCGTAATCTTTTTGGTATCTTTAGCTTTGCTTCGAAATGCCATCGCAGCTGATAATTTTTCTTCTATCGTGGATGTCGCTGGCAATCTCGCGCTTATGGGAGCTGGAGGAGTCACGATCGGCAGTGGGACCGGGGTGACATCGAGCAACTTTGAGGAGTCCAACATCCTCAATTCTGACTGCGATTGTCCAGCCACAGCTTGACTTGGTAATGATTTAATTTGATTTTGTTTCTGATCCGAGATGTTAATAGGCTTATTACTATTGCTCGTACTAGTTATTGACGCTTCGTCCTTCACACTTTCAATCGTAGTGTTTGCTTCGTTCTTGCTTAATTCCGCTGTACTCGGCGATTTGCTGCTATGGAATTGAATCTCCTGTTGATACATGGTAAATACATTCTCTGGTTCCATCTCCGATATCTCAGTCTCCGATATTATTAGACGATCCTCGGAATCATCGCGCGTAGCTTCATCATCCGCTGGCAAATCGTTGAACAAGAGATTTAAACCAACTACTTTATTACCGGATTCTTCCGTGACAGTCGATTTGAATTGATTGAATGATGCAGAGGATGATGTAGATGATTCACAAAATTTGTTAAAAACATCCTCACACGCCATGCACGATGCGATATGGGATGATTTGTTGGAAGCAATGACTGGTGCCTCGTGTGCATCATCAGATTTTTTACCAAACAATTTTCTCGGCTTCTTCCGAGAGTCATTCTCTGGGGGTTCCGATTTCGTTTCCTTTGTTACAGATCCTGTAGCTGGTGTTTTCTGCTTTTTCTTCGGACTCTTTGCCTCGTCTTCGAACATTCTCTTCTTTAATTTATCTTTATCGTTACTATCTCTCTTATTTCTTACCTCGAACTCAAATGGTTCTGGTTCTTTAAATTCATATATATCTTCCGTGCTTTCCACTTTTGGCTCCACAATTTCTACTTTTGGAGATTCGACAGTTTTCTCCACCTTGGGTGACATCGTGATCGCAGCCACGTTCTCTTTTTCGTCCTGCTTGATTTCGTCTTCAGGCTCGGGTTCCACCCTGACTATCTCTAATTTGACAGCTTTGTCAAAACCTTTCAATTCAGATCGTATTTGATTGAGATCAAAATCTCGACCCTTTGGTTGCTCCTCTTGATCACTATCAGGTTCGGATTTAATGCCTTGAGATTTGCCGGACGTTTTTCTCAAACGTCTACCTTTACGCGGTTCATCCAAATTGTCTTTATCATCCTCACCATCGCTCATCGTCACATCGTCCGTTTTAATTCTCTCTTCTGCTCTACTTCGCGCTTCCTTTCGTTTTTTTCTTCTATTCCTCTCAATCTGGTCTTGGTTTGTTCAGGCTCGGTAGTGTCAGATTCATATCCTTCACTATCCTCGCTTTCCGATGCAACAGATAGATCTGTGTGTCCCGAGGTTCTCCTTGTGCGCCTACGATATTCCACTCCAGATAACTCTACATTTCTGGTCGTTCTGGTTAGCCGATTAGCTGGCGTGGCGGGACTCTTGGTTCTAGAACTAGAACTAGCGATAGAAAGCGGAGTAGTGGACCTGGTTGGTTGTATTGTCTCCTTGTCCTTCTCTTTGTCTTCCTTCTTGGTTTCCTTCGTAGATGTTAAAGTTGACTGAGCGGCGCTAGTAGAAGTAGGAGCAACGCTTTGTGCCCGGCGACGACTTTGCGATGCGTTAATGCTCGAATTACAAGTACTTTTTAACCTACTGACACTGTTAGACGAATTCGTACTGGGAGTTTGAGGTCTGGGAGTTGCTTTGATGCGCTTTACCCTACCTTGAGCTTGTGTAATATTCTGAGCAATTCTGGGTGCTTTAATCCATTCGTCGTATCTGGTATTCCAACCTGTATAATGTACAAGATACAATGGTTCTGGACCTTCTTCTATTTCAATGACTTTTGCTTCGTAAGTAACTTTGGATTCGTGCGTTGGGCCGTAATAGACTTTTAATTTGTCACCACATTCCACAGGACCCTTGTAACTGGGAGCTGTCTCTGTGAGTTGTTCATCTGCGCGTGACTTTTCCGTTTCATGCTCTTTGCGTTTTCTTCCCCGTTTCTTTAATTCTTCATCCGTTAAACGTCGCTGCTTAGACACTGTTTTCTTATCTGCTTCCCTAGATGGAGTCCGAGTTTCCCTTCCTTCGGAAGCGCCTTTATTTTTCACGATATCATCTTTTGCCTTAGATCTCGTCTTAGTAGCTTCTTCTTCTTTGATTTTATCATCCTTCTTTTCTTGCTTCTTGGTTTCTGTTTTCTTCTTCTCAGCTACCTTTTTCTTAGTATCTTCTTTACTTTTTGATTTGGTTCGGCCAGATGATGCAACTGTATTACTACTCACATTGGGAGGTAATGTTGGAATTTGCGCAGACGATTTTTGTGATTTTTCATTATTGGATGATGATTCGGTATCTCCTTCCACGTTTACATCGCTTTCCTGACCGCTAGCATTTCCTTCAGATTCTTCTTTCTTCTTTATTTTGATAATTTCCTCTTCTTTCACTTGTTCCTTCTTACTCTCCTTCTTTTCTTTTTTCTCATCCTCTACAACTTTTTTCTCGTCTTCATCCTTATCACTCTTCACCTGTGCTGGTGCTGGCGGTGGTATAGGAGTATTTCGATCTTTATCACGAATAAGACTTCTTCCAGGACGTTGTTTACGCATGCTACCTCGCGGATGATTTACCATGGTGCAGCCTAATTTTCTGTAAAAATCCTCAAAGGAGTGTAAAACCTTTTTATAAGCTTGTTTTACAAGATTATACAAGGGTACCGAATTTTGCATTGTAAAACCAAGTCGTCGTGTCACAGCTTTCCATTGATTTTGATTCGTAACACGATTGTAGCCACCCAATTTATAAACCGCTCGGAAAAGTCGATACAAATCTATATCTTCGGATCCAATCATAGGACAAACATTTATAGGTGTTCCGCGATCATCCATGAATTTATATAATTGAGCCACAAAATGATCTTTTTCCTCACGCGGTTCATCATCCGAACTCTAGAAAAACATGTTATTTCATAGATATTGTGTTATAAAAATAAAATAAATATTTAAATAAGCTAAAAATCTTACATCTGAGTCAAGTTCTCCATCATAATCGCTATTTCCACTAGAAACAGAATGACCAAACAAGGAATCCCTATCCCAATGAGGTGGCAATTCATTTTTCTCTAAAAATAAAAGCGCTTTTTCTACTGCAACTTTCAGAGTAGTATTTTCAACTTTATTAACTAATTCCTTTGTGAATTCTGTAGCTTCTTTCTTGGGTACTGTATAACTAAAAAATATATATAAACATTTAGACATATATATGTACAGACAACACGCACACACATACAAACATGATAGTGACAATCTATACTTTATAGGAAAAGTTTTTCACTTACTATCTGGCATCTTTGAATGATCGTACTAAGTAATCATCTCTCACTCGTATTCTTACTGTATCTTGAGCAGTAGGTGCAACTACTAGCCCTGGAAACCAATTATCCTTTTTCTTCTTATCACCGAGTTCCACACAAACCACTCTACCAATTTCTGGTTCAGTTTCCATTCCTTCTTTTGCACCCCCGCTAGAAGCCGAATCACGAGTGCCTCGTGGCGGACTGTCTTCATCTTCGCTGCTTTCATCCCTGTTAAAGAATTATATAAATATGTTATTGAGATTAGTTATTAAAAATTTTAGAAATAGATTTGCTAACACTTACTGTGCTTGCCTTGATCGTCTACCTCTCCTACCCCCAATTACAGGATTCCCAAAATGTTCTGGGTGAGTCAATGGAAGTTGATCCAATGTTTCACTTTCGGCAAAATGCCTCCCACTCTTCAGGCAAAGTGCAGTTCTTCTTAATGTCGTGATATCTCCATCATCAAAAACCACAGTATATTGGCTGCAGTCTTGGATTTTTGTAATTGTAGCTTCAACAAGTTCTTTTCGATCTACATGTTTAACTTCAACAGAAGCACCTACTCTTAAAGTCCCTCTTATTTGATCATCAGCAACTGTAGCAGTCCCTAAACCTTGCGGTTTATAAGTTACACGACATTTTACTGATCGTACTACTTTACGAATTTTTGCTTCACAGAAGGCACCCTTATACTTAGCGCTAACTTCTGTACCCACCGATAGGGACGGTGGATCGTCTCCCTACAACAACGAATTAAATATTATGTCAAGATTACAATAATAATTTAATATCAAAATTTATAATAAGTAAGTTTCACAAGTAACTTTAATAAGTACTGATAACAAATAATAAGATATATAGAAATATTATAATATTTTTGTACATTTATTATATAAGTTTCATTTTTTTTTAAATATAAACAATTTTAATTTTCTATGATGCTGATTTAAAAATTATCAATTTATATTTTTATATTTGTATTCTTAAGCCTTGACGATTAATGATTTAGTTGAATTGATTAAATTGATTAAAGTTGAATTAAAATGATAAACATAAAAAAAACATAACAATGATTTTAAACATTCTTTAGATTTTAATCAATATCCATTTACTGCTCAATTTTTTTATAAATAAACAAAATTAATACAAAGTTAATTTATAGGCATATTTAACGTCACAATTTGAAGTAACTATAAAAAAATAACATTTTCTTATAAAACTTTTTTAATGTTAATTAATAAAATAATAATATATATTTATTTATATAATATAAATAAAATTAATATAAAATTTCTCATTTATATTTTGCCAATAGAAATAGTAATTTTATTAGCCAGTGAATAATGACAGAATACTATTGATATGCATTTATAAATATATAATTTTTCACGTAAAAAAATTAAATAAATTAAACATATAAATAAATCAGAACAATAAATCAGTAGTAAAGAAAAATTTAATATATACATGTGTATATTAAATTTTTCTTTATTTTGTTTATTAAATATTTTTCTGTCTATTGTATATGTATGAATAATTTATTAATATTAATGTATAATATACATATATTAATGTATAATGTATAATTAATATTAATATTAATGTATAATATTAATGTATAATATTAATGTATAATGTATAATATTAATGTATAATATATACATGTAATATCTATAATATATTTAATATATATCAATATCTGTATATACATAATACATATACATTTGCTTAAATACATATAAATATTATATATATTTCTTAAATACATATACAAAATACATGTTAAATCAATACAAACATATACAAAAACATATACAAAATACATGTTAAATCTATAAAACTAAATTTTAAATCATGCTCTTTAATATTTTCTCATGAAATAGGATAACAAAAATATATTTTATTTTTTCAAGTAAAAAGTTAGGTGAAATATATCAATTAGATATTTTTTAAAAAACAAAAAAGATATATATATATATATATATATATATATATATATATATTA